AGAATATTATTCTTAACTAGTCTTTCTATTCTCCTCCTCGAAATATGGCCTAAACGACAGTGCCATAATTTCGACAACGCATCGTGAGCTCTCTTTCGTTTTCTGTTTCTATTGTTCGATGAGGATACATTTTCATTCACATCACATACGAAATTCACATTTTCACGAAGTAATAACAAATAAAGCTCGTCTTGTCGAAAGGCAAGACCAACACATTTATTATTAAACAATATCTGACATTTGCCATTTCCAAAATGGCAATCATAACCATCATGGTCCAACTTTGATACACTAATCAGGTTTCTTTGCAAAGAAGGTACATAAAGAACATCTCTAAGAAAAAGTATAAAGCCATCTGGAAGCTCTAGAGGAAGATCTCCAACGGCCTCAACTTCTGCTTGTACTCCATTTACGACTTTAATGAAACTTTCGCTTCTTTGCAAAGTTCTCATCGAACGAAATCCCTGTAATGAATTAGCAACATGAATAGTTGCACCTGAATCAATCCACCAAGTAGATTTTGAAAACTTTACATACAAGGATTCATTTACAAACGTAATAATGTTCTCACCTTTATTCTTCATTATCATCTTTAGGAAATCGGGACAGTTCTTTTTATAATGTCCCGTCTTCTTACAGTGGAGACACTGATCTTTAGCCACTGGGAATTGCTGGTTCTGAGACTGTTGCATGGGACCTTTTCCAGATGTCTTGGAGGAAGAGCTGTTATAATAGTTCTTTTTCTTATCTTTTAGATAGTTGACTGAACCACCTTGTGAAACTTTTATTCTTTCCTCCTCCCGCACACACATGGCTATGAGCTTTTCTAAATCCCATTTTTCAGGCTGTATGTTGTAATTAACAACAAAGGTGTCAAATTCTTTGAGCAAAGAAGCAAAAATCAAATGAATAAGAAACTTATCCTTGAGTGCCAAATCCATTGGTTTGAGCTTAGATGCCAGATTGCTCATTCTCAAGATATGTGCTCTCTAATGCCACTTTGCCGCCACACAGTACCTTTACAGAACCGGTTGCTTGATCATTTGGGTTGCATATGTCTTTGAAGAGCCGGTGAACCTGACTCTTTATTCTATCTAGGTACTCTATGACCGTGTCATTGATGGAATTGAGCCCACAACAGTGAGACTCAATCGTGTTCTTTATCAACGCCAAACACTTCTTGTTGGCAAGTGACCCATTTCCTATGCTCAAGGTCATAGGACATCTTTACGGAGCAAAATCCCGCTCTCTATTACGCCATGCAAAGATCGGTCTCATCAGTCTCCTCACGGTGCCACAGGTTCTACGGGGGCACGGTGTGGTGACAACCGATCTACCTCAAATGAGGATGAATGCAGTCTATCTTTTTCTTCCACTCATTATAGTTATCACCTTTTAGAGTGGGGATCTCTTTGATACAACTCATTAAGTTGTATCCTCCAAAACACAATTCAAATAGTGTGAGAACGAAATAACAACAATAATTGCATGCCTTAGTTTAACGTTGGTCAAAATTAAAACATACAATTATTTTATACATTAAATCTACATCATAGTTGGGCGTAGAAATAGAAATAATGCATAATCATTAAAATTATAATATTGCTATTAACAACGTTGGTCGGGAAAATAACAATATCATAATCAACTCATATTTATCTCTTGGCTCTTAAAATCAAATTCTCCTGTTGGTTCAATTTAATTAAAAGTCCATAATTACTTTAAATACGCAATGGAAAATTTAAATATGCCCATAATTATTTTTCTGAAACTCTTAAATATTGTAATCGTTTCTGAACAAAATTGTCGTTGGACAAAAATTGCACAAAGATTTGCATCAACTTCCAATTGAAATTCATCAAAAATATATATTTCTGGAAAAATAAAAGAAAAACTTTGAGCTATTTCTATTCATTAGGCCATTTTAGCCAAAAAAAGACATCGCCATGTCTATGGGCTGACACACATGTTCTGCAAGCTTATGTTGCATGCTCATGCTCATGGCTGGCTCCAATAAGACTTCGCGCCAGCCGCAACTTTGGCCTAGGGTAGAATTCACCTCGCGCCCTTTCACTTTCTGCTCTATGTTGGCCGCCGGTCGCTCGTGGTCAGTCTGTCTCGATCGGCGGTGGAGCACACACTCGGGGCATCAAAAACCCGCCGCAGCGCCCGAAAACCCTATACCATTTCTCTTTCTCTCTCCTCTCCCACTCCACGACGGTGTAGCGAAGACGAAGGGAGTAGCAACCACCTAAATCACCGGAGAAGAAGTGAGGACGACACGGTGCCAAGCCCTCTCATGCGGTCTTGCTGCTCGCCCATGGCGAGCGCCATTGCCGCCGTCAGCGGCTTTGGATCATTATCTGAAGCCTGCATTCAGGCCAGAACCTCTGTCCTTCGCCAACCATGGCGGCGGTGATGATCACCAAAGACCACGGTGGTGCTTTTCAGCCGTGATGACACGGTGTCGGGAGGACCGGGTAGGTTCCCTCTTCATCTTTTCCTTCCCCAAAACCCAATCTAGGGTTAGGGTTTCATTTCTAGGGTTAGGGTTCTTTTCGATCCGATCCGAGATCGGGATCCTTTCGGTTTCTTTGATTCGGATTTTGCACGATTTCCCGATTAGGGTTAGGGTTAGGATTGGGGATGAAACTGTTTTCTTCTTCCCCGATTTGAAATCGGTTTCTTTTCCTTCTCAATCAATCACCGAAGCGGGTTAGGATGTTGAGACCATGTCTCAAATCTTTCTCACTTTTCCGTGCCGATTGAGGATTAGGGTTCGATTTCTTTTTTTCCCGATCCGGATCTACCGCTAGAAAAAAGTCTCGGTACCATTGTTAACATTACGTGGATCGACTAGGGTAGATCTAGGGAATAAACACTTGGATCCACAGTGAAGCACATGCACATTTAGACCTAGAACACTACACCGTGAGGAGATAGGGTAGAGAGGTCTTTGGTGATGAACCCGAGCCTTCAGATGAAGTCATGGTTGTCTTGGCCATCGGTTGGTTCGATGATGGAGGCAAGACTGCAGGCAAATGACAGGTGGAGTAGAGAGGTTACTGCAGACGTCGATGCGGTCGTGACTGGGCAGATTGATGATGCGAGGGGAGGGTCGGTGAGCTTCTCCGTCAGCCGGGCTGCGCACCCTCTTAGATCGGTCTAGGTTTTTGTCGGTGGGGTTTTCTGACTCATGACTTAACCTCGTCTTTGAGCAGCCGCCCCCACCTCTTTATATAAGATGTCTGACGGGGCCCACCAACCATGTAGGGTCAGGCGCCTGATCGTCGTAGCGTGACCAAGGCCCAATAAACCGTGGTTAGGAGATCAATCTAACCCCAGCCCTTTGAGGTAGGGTATACTTAGCTACAGGCTCAAGATTCCTAGATCAACCCAAAGGGCAAATATTTATATATTTCTGTCTTTGATGTAGGGGCAGGGGGGGGTCTGCTATTCAATGCATTAAGAACGGGTAGAAATATTTATGTTTTAAATTAAAAAATATTAAAGAGCACTTCTGGGGTGGATCTAGAATAAAAATGCATTGATGTCATTAGCGTTGTGATAAGTATGATTATTTGTATTGTTCCCTCTTGAAGTAAGAATACTTACCTCTTGGATGTGAAAATTCCATTGTTGTCAAGTGACAACATTGAAATAGCCCAGCTCTGCCCCAGCTATGACTATGAGATGTGAGTTAATCTGATACACTATTTTGACTAACTCAAATTCAATGGAATTACAATCAGATGGCTTTTAGCATGTAGAGGAAAGGTACCAAGGTTTCACGTGCATACGAAAATGACAAAACATTTCAATCAAGTAGGGCCACAATATGGTCCGATTGAAGAATTCTTGTGACCACAAATTTAACACGTGGCAACTTTCCTCGTCGAGATGCTGCTCCGATTTAGTAGCCAATAAAAAGTTAAAAACATGACACATTCATGCATATGTATATGCGTATATATCGAAAATATATAATGAATTAGCAATCAACAGATACAGAAGTAGGACACTGCTACAAACTAAACCTGACATTCTCAAATTAAATGGTAAAATAGGTGTCCAGTAATTTTGTGAGGATCTAAAGTTCAAAACATGCTGTGAAACCAGGGGCTTATGTTGCATATTAAAAAATTCAGATGCATGAATGAGATATATAATAATAATATATATTCTAAATCTGGTGTTCATGGCATTCTCTTTCCATGCTCTGCTAAATCTGCCTTTTTTTATTCTTCCATTATTGTTTCTTGTCTCTAGTCTCTAACTGTATTAAAGCAAAGCAACAAAGTGAATGGGAATGAAAAGAAAACCTTGCTGTTATATATGATAAATATATTATAGTTATATTCAGGAGTAGATAAATTCCCCCCATGTGCACACCAATTATTGCTGTTCCATCCAAATCACAAAACACCAACACCTATCCCCACCTCAGCAACTGACATGGTGGACCCATGCAAGCTGACCCCACTGTCATACAGCACGTCCCCATAAAATAACCACCCAGCGAACCCGCCGCTCCATTGGCCCGACGTGCCCGTGCCGTTAGAAACGCCCCCACCCGTCACGGGCGCACTGTACCAACGGGCCCACACGTCATGCCCAGCCACGCGCCGCACGACCGCGCTTCGCGGCCGGCCTCCCCCCACCGGCGCGTGGGCCCAGGAGGAACGCGCTGGCCCACCGGTCAGAGACCTGGCCGCGGGTATAAACGCGCCGGTTGCCCAGCAGACACTGCAGCAGCAGGAGTCGGTCGGCAAGCAGAGCCTCCTTGCGAACGCAACCACCGCTTCGGATTCGCCGGCCGCCGCTTCGCTTCGCCTCTTCCTCGTCCACGGCAACCAACCATCGAGATATTGGCGGGGCGCCGATGCTCCACGACTCCCGGTAGCGCGTTGCGGATGGTGTGGCCTGTCAGGCTCGCTGCCGCCGCTTGGGGATCTGGGCTGCTGCCGGACCGGGAGCGGCGGTTGTGACCGGCGCCGGCGATGGCGATGTCGGCGAAGGAGAGGAAGCTGAGCAGGCTCGGGAGCTGTAAGGTTACTGCAGCGGTAGGAAGTGGCGGCGGCGGGGATTCCCCTGCCGCGAGGGGCCACCGGTCGCCGGCGGCGGCGGCGCCGCCGCAGCGGCGTGTCTTCGCGGCGCTCTTCGCGTTCCTGTGCGCCGGCGTAGTCGTCCTCGTCGGCGTGCACGTCATTGGAGGTGAGCCTTCCTCCCCATTTGCCTCCTCACTGGACTTTCTGCCTTCTCCTGGCGTGAATTATTGGATCTTGGGTGGGGTTTAGGTGGGTCGCCGGAATTGTATTGTCACGAGAATCGTGTGCTTGGAGCGTGGTGGGATTAACAATGATTTGGGCGACAAAGTTCTCATTTTTAGATACGATTTTGGTATGTGTTTGGTGTTCGTTGTTGAGAAGGTGAGGAAAAAGACGGTTCCTTTTTGTTGGGGGCGTTGCGGTAGATCTGATGTGGTCTTACCACTCCCGGCAAAATTGCAATTTCTCTCTTTGGATTCTGTCCGTTTGTTAATGATTTCATTGGAAACGCGCCAGTGGCACCTGGGTTGGAACGTTAGCAAGTGAATACATTATACTAGTGATGGTGTTTTGCTTTTGACTGATTGTTACTAGAACAGGAAAAGCTCACGCCATCACATGAAGAATGTGTGTGTTGGTGTTTCTGATTTCAAGCATGCTGAATTCGCTTCGTTTGTTTCTTCTCTACACGAGATGCTGATGTTCTTGTCTCTGATGCAGCATCGTTCCGGCCGGTGCTCACGACTGCGTGGCCGTCGGCGACCCTGAACGCCATTTCCTCTGATGCCAGAGCGCAGCAAGCTGGCAGCAGCGCCGACACCGTGTTGCCGTCAGTCCAAATCCAGCACGCGGTTGCCTTTCCGGACCGTGTTCTCCTAATCCTCAAGGACGAGTCGTCGCTGCCAGCTCCTCAGCGGTTTGAGTGCTTGTACTCCCCTGCCAACTTTTCGGAGCTGCGCCGACCACCCCTCTTGGCCACCTCCTTGCCTGATGGACCCAGCCTCGTCCATTGCCCTGCCGAGCCATCTGGTGTGGATGTCTCTTTGTCACTGTCCCTGTCACCTCCGGTGGCGCCGCTACAATGGGACAGGCTTGTGTACACTGCACTTGTCGACAGCAGGGACAACTCCACCATTGTGTTCGCCAAGGGGATGAACCTACGGCCAGGCCGTTTGGGTGTGGCGTCGAGGTATCAGTGTGTCTTTGGCCGTGACCTGTCAAAGCCAAAGCATGTGCTCACATCCCCTGTGATTTCTGCTGCACAAGAGATTTTCCGGTGTGTGACACCAGTTCGCATTCGCCGGTATCTCAGGATGACAACTGATCCCAATGGCAATGGCAATGGAGATAGTGATGGCAAGCCTATGTTGGTCTCCATCAGGACGAAAGGACAAAGAGACTCTACGCCGCCCTCAATTGCTGAACCTGAGCCACTTCCTCGGTATAACAGGCATCGACGGCAAAAGGCACACTCAATGTGTGTATGCACCATGCTTCGCAACCAGGCAAGGTTCCTCCGGGAATGGATCATCTACCACTCACATATCGGTGTGGAACGGTGGTTCATCTATGACAACAACAGTGATGATGACATTGATCAGGTCCTCAGTACCATGGATCCATCAAGGTATAATGTGACACGCCATCTGTGGCCATGGATGAAGTCTCAGGAGGCTGGCTTTGCACATTGTGCTCTTAGGGCCCGAGAGAGCTGTGAGTGGGTGGGGTTCATCGACATCGACGAGTTCTTGCACTTCCCTGGCAACCAGACTCTACCAGATATTCTCCAGAACTACTCAGACAGGCCACGGATCGGTGAGCTCAGGACTGCGTGCCACAGCTTTGGTCCCTCAGGTCGGACTAAAATTCCCAAGAAAGGCGTTACAACAGGTTACACCTGCAGGCTCGCTGCACCAGAGCGCCACAAGTCAATTGTCAGGCCGGACGCACTAAACCCATCACTCATCAATGTGGTGCACCACTTCCATCTGAAAGAAGGCGTGAGGTATGTGAACATTGGTCAGAGTGCGATGCTCATCAACCACTACAAGTATCAAGTTTGGGAGGTGTTCAAGGATAAGTTTTCTGGGCGTGTCGCGACCTATGTTGCTGATTGGCAGGACGAGGAGAACGTTGGATCCAGGGACAGGGCACCAGGATTGGGGACCAAGCCGGTGGAACCAGAGGATTGGCCGCGTCGGTTCTGTGAAGTATATGATACCGGTCTTAAAGATTTTGTGCATAAAGCGTTCACAGATCCAGCCACTGGAAGTCTTCCATGGTAGATGATGGGTAAACATTGTATTTGATCCATGGTAGATGATGGGTATACACAGACAGGGAAAGAAACACAAAAAAGAGTTAGGTAGGACTGGTTTGCTCTTTGTTAAATTTAGTCTTAAGGTTTTCTTTTCCTGTTCTTATTTCTTTTAGAGCCATCCATTTTTTTACATATCTAAGGAAAGGATTCTTTTGTAGAATGTAGATAAAGATAGGTAGCACGTTCACTGTAAGTTTTCTTGATGAAAGAGGGAATGAATAGGATGACTACTTGACTTTCTTTCTTCTTCTGACGTTTTATTACATTGCAGTATGCTCTCAAACCTCGATAGATATTGTCACCAAGTCTGCGATTGTGAACATTTTTTTTTTCTGGAGAAAACTACACTCAATTCTGTAAGCACAAGCTGTAGTTTGTGTTGAAGAAAAGGATGGTGCACCTTCCTTGCACCTTGCTGTAGTAGTGGTCCTGATCCTGAAAGAATATTTGTCCCCTCAGTGAAAAACCACACAGAACATTGTGCTTTTGCTGTTTTTTCACTTTACATTTACACAATTGCAACTTTATGTGTTGAGCATCTTTATCTGTAACTTATAGCATTGGGAAAGCATCTTCTTGCATCAAATCAGCATGTTTCCAAGGAAAAGGAAAGAACCAGACCAACCGCCAGATCACTCTCATAACCATTGTTTTCTTCCCCATCTTTGGTTACTGAGCTTTCAGCCGTTAGCCCACAAAACCTGACACACAGATATTAGATAAGCACAGGCTATGAGGCTAGATAAAACCTAGGTTTCTTTCCTCTTCTATTTTTTTTTTGTGCATCATTGATCTTTACTTTATCATCTAAAGTCCGATGACAGGGTGGCATTGCCGGGACTGGATCAAGGTCCCAGTTCCTTTTTTGTACTACTATTCCTAGGTTTATCAGGACAGGCTTGAGGCTTCTCATAGTGCAGTCAAAAGCAAGGGGAAGCAAACAGGCACAGCCTTTGCAGTACCCTATTCTGAGACCCACCTTGTTCCTGATGTTAGTTTATCTGTAGTAATCAAGGAAAACTGAGGGCAACAATGCAAAGGCTGGCACAAGTGTGTTCGTCGGTTTGGTGATGTTGCCATCTGAAGGTGGCTCCGAAAGAGGTGAGCGTGGCCTGTAGAGTAAACTACAAATCTGAGCTGCAGTCTGGTACCACCTACCCCGTCAGAATAGTATTATATAGGGCTGAAAATAAAATAACGTCCACATGCATGGATGGAAATTAGTGGTGAATGATACCGAAAAAAATAAAATGAAAATGCATGTATGTGAACGTATGAGCTGCCATGAAACCTGGGTACTTTTGCCTAGTTGGAAGCTTGGAAGGTTCTTGCGTTGGACAGGAGGCCTGAATTTCTGGCAGGTAGGCTGGCACACCTTTCGTTGTCCCTCTGCCTCTGGGACATCATGCCACAACATTTTCTGAAAATGCTCCTCCACTATGCAAACCTTAATCTTTCAACTGTGCTTGATTAGCTCAGCTACTGTGAAGAAAATTCTTTTGCAGTGTGACGCAGCCACAGCCAGCCCAACTGCATAGTATCTCTGCATGTTGGAGGAGGGATCATGAGACATTGCTGTCTGGGATGCAGGGCTGCTGGCCCCTCCAGGCTCCAGAGTCCATAAAAGGTGTAGTAGTGTACTACTACATTGTACAACTGGACAGGCCTGTGTTCATGATACGAGGCAGGCAGAAGAACTGCTGCAGATCCGTGTGTCCTTTCACTACTGGCTGAATCGACTGCAGATCTTCTTGCAAATTGCAGCTCTTTGACGCGGGGTATCTGCAGTCAGATCTGCACCGTTGATGACAAAACTGCTCGACCGGATCCTCGTGCATTTGGTACTCATTTCAGTACCATCGATTTCTGCCTTCAAGTCGCTGACAACCCCGTAGCCTGAATCATCTAAAATGATCCGCAAATTGCATTCCGGTGTCGGTGTGGGTTAGTTGGGTCACACCAAAGCAGTAGCACACCACCGAGGACAGACGCCGAGTCGCCGATGGCATGCAAGTCGTGCCGAGGCCCGAGGCACACGTTGGATCCAAGACCAAGAGAGTAGTGACCTGCTGACCAGATCAGATGGCTGCCGTCATTGGATCCGAGAAGTGCTGGATACCGGCGACTTGTTGGTGCCTTGCCTGACTAGCGTGCGTTATCCTAAAAATTATTCCCTTTCTGTTTCCAATGACAAGTTATTTTAATTTTTGTAAATACATACTTTAACTTTTTATCTAAATGTCGATCTATATTTTGGAACGGAAAGGATACCCTGCGTGCGTTAGGCTTGATCTGTCCTGTACAACTTGGATTTGGAATGACCATTTTTGAAGAAAAGAGTCGTGCACGTGCTCTTGTTTGCGACAAAGGCACAGCTTCTTTAGAGCCATAGTGGGCCATGGCCCCTCCTTGTTTTTGCAATTCTATAAATGATGCTGTAGTATCTTAGTATATTTTGCAAATAAAGGTTTAGATTGGCCACCCCTACACTCCCTAAACCATATATATTCTACTGTTGTCCCCTCTAAATTTAACCTCAAACTCCGCCACTGTTTGCGAGAAAAAACATGTTTGTCTACATAGTATATACTAGCTAGTTTTGGTAGATTCCCACAATTTTACCATAAAAAACTAAGAGTTGGTGTGGATTCATGAAGATTGTAGGTATAGCTTCTAGCTAGCTTCTATAATCTAGAGACCCCTACAGATTTCATAATCCGGTAAGCCGAGGAAACCTAGCTTCTTCCGGATGGCTTCTAGACATCAAAAGACTATTCTATCCATCTCTTTGTTCCAGAGAAAAAGCATTAAAAATCAAAGAGTGTCGGTATTGTGGTAAAAGATGTCAACCTTAGCTTTTATAATCTATAGATCCAAACAATTTCACAACTCATCTCGTATAATCTAGTTTCTAAGAGGGGTGTTTAGGACTGCTCCATTCTAGGATTTTGCAGCTCCGCTCCAGCTTCATCTTGCCAAAAACCTCCAACTCCAAACTCTGCTCCATGAAAAACGTGGAGTTAGAGACAAACTCCACGTTTTTTCTAGAGCACCTCAAGAGGTACTCCAGGTTTTGGAGTTTTGTACTCCATGTGGAGTTGAAGATAATTACACACTTTGCCACTCATTAATCATATGTACCGATTCATTTTTTTTTCCATCCGTTCGACTCCCTCGTACGCTGAAAGGATCAAGATGACTAAGAGGGGGACGGGGTGAATTGGGCTTTTCTAAAATTTATTGCAATTATTAAGTCATATACTTAGCCCACTTCACCCCTAGTGCCTAATTGTGTAAGCTATTGATCTATCGCACAAAGAGCTTAGCAACCTAGGTTTCAATCCTACTCTAGCATGCCAATTCTATGAATGTAAAGACATGAAATGAATTGCTCAAAGTAAATACGCAAAGTAAGGAGAGGGAAGAAATACGGTGACGTTTTGCCGAGGTATTGCTCCCCCTTGATCCGCGCAAGGATCAAGTGCTCTCTACGGGCTGATTCTTCGCCATTTCGGCATGGTGAATCGTCCACAACCGCTCACAAGATGAGTTGGGTCATCCACAAGCTCCACCGGATGATCACCAAACTCCCAATCACCACCAAGTCGTCTAGGTGATGCCGATCACCAAGAGTAACAAACACAAACTATCACTTGACCCAAACAAGGCTAATGAGGAAGGTGGATGCACACTTGCTACTCCCTAGACACTAATGAGGTCCTTAATCTTAGATTATCAAATCTCAATCACCCCATTAGGCACTTGCTCTCACTTGAACTCCAAATGGTTGCCTCAGCTGAACAAATGAGCAAGAGAGGTGAATTGGACGAGTAGGAGATGTATTTATACACCCACAACCAAACATACCCATTGAGGTCTAACTCAACCTTTTAGTGATGACCGGACGCGCCTGTCGGGGTGACCGGACACGTCCGATCAGTAGCCAACGGCTACGTGACGCCAGCTCTGACAAGCAACAGCTAGTGTGACCGAACGCTGGTAGGGTCCGGTCCACATTGACCGGATGCATCCGGTCAACAATTTTCCTCTCTGGAACCTCTGTGTCTTTGATCGGACGCGCTGTCCTCCAGCATCCGGTCCAACGTCCGATCCCAATATGAGCAAGCCTTCTATGCCATAGCCACCCAAGAGATGATTTGGTGAATAGGCATATCTTCAAGTTAGCATCATCGGAGGTGAAGTCCACTAGATATAAGTTGTTATATCTAAAGCCTTTGAATATGACTTGATCATCATCCTTCTTTGACACGACCACTTCTTTCTCGGTGAATAAGTATTGAAAGCTAAGATCACACAATTGACTAATGGATAGCAAGTTGAAACTCAATGAAGCAATAAGAAGCACATTTGAAATTGAGTGATCATTTGATATTGCAACTTTGCCCAACCCTTGTACTTTGCCCCTTGAATTGTCACCAAATGTATTTCTTTCTTGATCATTCACATTTTCATATAGTGAGGTGAACATACGAGGATCACCGGTCATATGTTGAGTGCAACCACTATCAATAACCCAATGACTTCCACCGGTCTTATAGTTCACCTACACACATAAGAGATCAAACTTGTTTTTTAGACTCCCATACTTGATGGGGGCAACCACTTTCTCAACTAATGACTTTGCTACCCAAATTTGTCTAGGCCTATTCTTGTTAGGTGGACCTAGAAACACAACTTGAGGTCTTCCTTTTGTGTCCTTTCTAACCACATAATGAGCATTGTAGGCAAAGGGTCTAGCATGTTTGGGCAAGGGTTGTGGTGGTGGAGTTTTACAATCATGAGAAAAGTGACCTTCTTATCCACACTCAATACATCTCTTTGGCTTGGGCTTTGGCTTATGTTGATATTGAGCTTGATATTGAGCTTTGGCTTTCTTCTCTTTGTTTGCCTTGAAACCAATACCACACTTGTCATTCTTCATCACGGTGTTCATAAGTAGCTCAC